TCTCTCTCAGAGTATGTATCTCTATGGCATACCTGAGAGAATATGTTTTGATCGTAATTTCATTGTGTATGCGAATAACGGAACGAAAAACTTTTGTATAAATGAGTTGTCATAAGTAGTGAATGCTAACAAAAATTGTCTTTTTTCGGTCACATCTCACACCACAATATATGGCAATAACTGGTCTCTTATTTTATTTTTTGTTCATCACAAATACAATAAGAGTGAGTGAAATGTTTGTACAGCTATAAGAAAACTACTCACTTCGATAGCATTTCATGTGTTCAGATAAGTATAGTATTGTCGGGAATGGAGTTAATTTAGTCGCTATCTCTCCCTTATTATTGGAAATAATGAAAGCAATAAAATTGGAAAAATGTTTCTCTGATCGTTTGTTGAATTTTTATTAAAAACTAACTTAAGTTATTATTAAGTTATTTACTTTTTAAATATACAGTATCTCTCACAATACTTCCCAAAACCATTCACTTAATAACTTTTTCTCTCATTTCTATCGGAATTATATTTAATTAATATTAAATTCCTTGGCATTAAACGCATCAATGAATTCAAATAATTAGAAATTTTTTCTTGTTATAAATTATAAGAATAAAAACCTTAAGAATTGTGTATTAATTCTTAGACACAAAGTGTGTAAAAATTCTAATGAATTCCAAACAATAGCTAAAATTATTTAGTTTTGTAAGAAAAGTTTTAATTGGAAATGCATGTAATCTAATTTTTTTTATTGTTTTATAAAACTAATGTAATGTTAAATAATTATTATTCAAAACAAACCTAAGTATGTTGAGGCACCGGTCAATATGAACAAGACTTTGAGTGCGTCCAACATTGGAGTTAAATATAGTTGACATCCGATTCAATACAACAGAATATTCATTATCTATAAATACATTTTTCAAATTACTGTCTATTCAAATAGTAGATGAGTATAGTATTACTATACTTACATTTAATTAAATGTGAGTTATATTTTTTGGCTCTTTTATTTTTTAGTTATTTTAATGAAGCACAAAATTAAACATATTTGTAATGCTATGTTTGGCTTAAATTTATTAGGGAATTGAGACTTTATTTAAATGAAAGTCTGTTCGTAAAGCAATTACTTTTCTTTGTATTTCTTATACAGAATATAATAACTTACTCTATAAGTGTCCAAAATAATGAAATGTTTTGAGAATTAGATGACTTTATATACAGTGATATCCATTTGAACTAAACTTGTGAACTATATTTCATTTTTTCGATGAGAGATGTTTGCGTTAAAACTGTTAAATCACTCGAAACTGACCGCAAAATAGACTTCATTGATAATATAAGTCAGTGAAAGTGTCATTTTGAGTATAACTAAAATATTTGTTTTCAAACCGATTCTTGAGTTCACACAACACTTTCAGTTATATTTTTAGAGATGAGTAGAAAACGCATTACATTTGAAAATAGATTCAACAAAAACAAAATTATTAAATATTTGCATACATTTAGAAGAAAGAAGATATTATATTAGGATTTATAACAAGTTTTTGATTTATTAATCAATAAATTGAATGCAAGGTTTAAATTTGAAAGCAGTTTCAAAGTTACAATTCTTTCTATAATTTTAACAAAACAAACACAAAATATAAGAAATGGTTTTATTATTCAACGAATTGTCGGCAAAAGAGAAATGTGAGTCATTTGTGTCGGTAATCCTTAATAACAACTCAAATAAGACTTAACAGATTTGGTGTTGAATAAGACCTTAAGTCGAGAAATATTGTTATTGACCACAAAAACCAATAAACAAACGAATTGATACACACTTTAGGGTATAATCTGCTGACAATAACTGGATAACAGTTTGAGTTTTAACTTATGAAACCCAATAGAAAAAGCATAACTTAAATATTATCACCAAATCACATGAGACACCAAATGAAATAGACTTGCCATAACTGTACATTATTTGTTTATATTCTTGGTGAAATAACAGTGGTTATATAAAAACTTTATTGTCAGATATATCGGCGCCAATTATGGCGAGAATTGTCCGCATTTTCTAAGAGTTAGCATTCAATGCAATTCTTTAGGGCCGATGACGAGCTGTGACTACCGATGCTCTAGCTTTGCGCTAGTATTTAGCATTACTTCCCAACAGTAGTGATCAATACTGAGCTATAGTATAGTGTAGGCCCGGCCTGTCGTCCAACACTGTGTTCTATATGCTGTTTAGTCGCTCATCGAGTGATGCGCTGTTCAAACAGTATACACATAACACACACGCGTCTCATATATACAACGATTTATTGCATTTTGATGAACACTATTGCAAACATATATTCTCTTCTCTCTGTATTTTTCATTGAGATTTTAAATTTGTTTTTTAATAACAAAAGTTAAATGAATATAACTTTAAACTGTTTTGTGATTAATTATTCTATTTTAGGTATTTAATAAATAATTTGTATTAAAATAGCTTCATAAATTATGAATAAAGTTATTAATAAACGATTTACACAAACTCGTCGATTATCTTAATGGTTACAATCAGACACTCAATTTATATTTTTGCTAATTTACACAGTTTTCTACGTGAACAGTTAATTTATTTATTTTAATTATAAAACTCGGATAATTATGTTAATTTTAAATTATTTTCTCTTAATTTACTGGAAATGAGTAGGAGTTTATAAAATTGCTATTTTTAGTAAGAATATATTTACACATTTTAAAATTATTAATAATATACAGTACTTATGCAACATTGAAATTTTCAAAACTTCTGCGTTATTCAAATAAGTAATGCTTTTAAGAAAATATAATAATAGATTGTATTTATTGAAATTCAATGTATTATAAATTAATTTGCATATTTACGCAATATATTTCTTTAATCATGAATAAATGAAAAACAATTTTAACTATAAAACAAATTAATGACTTTGTTTGGAAGTACAGTGTAATGTTTGAGACTAAGAGACTAAGGGGTTGTGAACAATTTATTATCGAAAGTATCAAATGATTTAAAATTAGCATACAGAATAATAGGATAAGATATTTGGACATAAGATTTGAAGTGTTTTGTCAGACATGTAATCACATGAACACAAATTATTCTTTTATATAAATTTCTGGACAAAACATTGGTTGCAATAAAAGAGAAGGAAGTCTACACTAATGAGCACAAGGACTTCAATTATATTATTCAATGGGAAAGGGATTCAAGAATATTCTATTTCGTAGAATATTCTACACTAACGGTACATGTATTGCAAGATAAGAGCACTGTTTTATAGAGTGAATGAAGATTTTTTAACTTTTGTACTAATATTTCCCAAAAGAATACTTTTGTGTTGTAATGTATGAAACGATTTCCAATGAATTTTGTAAGTTTAGAGCATTTTGTGCTAAATTAGTCAAAAAAGTCATTTATATATAACTATAAGTCCTGCGAGAAATTTGTAGAAATAATGGTAAGAATAACACAAAGACTGCCCAACCGTTCATTTGATGAATAGCTGTATTGACTAACTGTTCGTATAAATGGCTTTAAATCAAAAACTGATATCTTTGTGGTTCACTATTATAGTTACTCCTATGGTTCACTATATATACTCCTCTTCACACTATTTTAGACCAAACTTTACTTAACTTTTATTTTCTTTAGGAGTCGAACAGTGAACCAGATTCTCGATTTTGATATCAATAATACACTCTTTTTTCTCTTAGTCTAGTGATGAATAAAATATGGATTTACTTAAGGTTTTTCGCAATAAATGTTTTCAATTGAGTAGATTTTATAAGTTTGAAAAGAATGAAAGCAAAAAAACTTTATTAAATATCTATAATAAAAATACACTGTAATCCTATTATTTATATTTTAGATACAAAAATCAATTTATACACTGTATTTGTATTCAAGAATTTTCTTTTTTAGTTATTTATTAAATATTATAAATAATAAAGCACGTATAAGACCCACACAAATTTATTTGAGTAAATGCTAATAAAATAAAATAAAAATAAATAACTTTTTACAATTGATGGCATAATTTGAAGTAAGAGTCATAAAAACGAGTGCTTAAGAAGTTTAGCATTTAATTCAATTGAGATGAACTGAAAAGTGAGCACTTTTTTGAATTTATGGTCAACGCTGCAGCACTTGGGGATAACACTAATGGACACATTTTTATCAATTTTTGGGCTAAAGTTTAGCGCTATTTTAAATCTATTTTAAAAAGCACTGAATCTTTAGGTTGTGTTTCATTATCGGTGTTGTCTTATCGTATGGTTGAAGTCATAGACGAAACTATTCTTATAAAACCATTATTGAGGTAATGATTGCTATCTACCCATAGAAATGTTCACATATTATGCATAAATATGAAATATGTTGTGAGCTGTCAATACTTTTTAGCATAAAATGAGTTCAGAATTGAGGCATCAAAATAGATTTCAAAGTATTGCCGTAACATACAGTATGACTAAAATTGAATATTATAGTATAATAATTATACAAACATGTCGATTGCTTGATTTCTTATTTAAAAATACTGTATATAATTAGCTAGCTGAAAAATATAACCCGTAAAATACAAAATATAAGAATCTTCTAAAGGAATGAAAGAATCGAAATTATATTTTCACAAAAGAATATTCTTTACGCTATATTACAGTATCTATGGCCTTGAGCCAGAATAGACAGAATATACTGTGCCCTAAAGTTAAACAATACAGTGCTATTAAAATACTGCAATATTTAACCATTGCAGTACTACCGTATATCCAATAAATCAAAACAATTGAAAATTAATATTTTTAGATTGAGTTTTTATTTTAATAATATTGTCAATTTAATCATTAAGAATTGAATCATTTAAAATTTATTTATTCCGATGAGTTATGTAAAAAATAGTAAGTCTTATAGGCATTACAAAACAATTAGAAACTGAACACAACTAGACTACTGTAATAGGGAATGGTATGAAACTATGCGATCATTTGTCTATAAAATAGTTTTGTCGATAAAACTTGAGTTCAGCTATACTTTCGTTGATGTCATCGATGGCTCTGTGAGTCAATTGTTTCCGAAAGCTCTCGTCCTTCTTATACCAGATCCGCACCAACTCTTTGATTGTCGAGACGTCGACAGTCCGGTAGTGAAGACACGACGAGAATTTTGGACAATATTTGTTCAGAAAGAGCCGATCATAGCCTTCAACACCACAAACACACCGTTAGATCCAATTCTTAAGACATCACACATAGTGAATGACTGCCTTAAAGGTCGGTTATCTGACAATGACTATAAGTCAAGTAAGTACCGAAGCTTGTCGAAAAACAGGTGAAGAAGCTGCCAGTCGAGGCTGAGGTCTGTAACGAAGTGTTCTGGGGACTCGTTGTGCGTCTTCACACACCAGTCGTTCATTTGATCCAAAATCTGTTTACTTGTTTGGATGACATATGGACCCAATTGTCTGATCTGCGGATACAACACAAGACTCAATGAGTGGATTGTCTCGCAATGACCACCGATGGCGGCAAACCGTATCCAAGTTGCCATTCGTCACAATGACGGCCACCTCCAGGAGTCGGTCGGCGTTCACATCGAGACCAGTCATCTCGCAGTCAACCCAAACCAACTTCTTGCCCGTCATATCACCACTCATTCTCCGCACTACAGATAATAACCAAGAGATTTGTGTCACATTTGGGAAGCGTTTCACTTTCGATGCAAACAAACCATACATTGAAAGCATTTTTTGCATTCAATTCAATGCTTTGATTATGAAATGCATTGAATGCTAAACGCAATGCGAAACACATTATAAGTTTGCATTCATGGCATACAAACACGTGTTTGCATTACATTTGCATTCATTTATACCTTTTTAATCATTCAATTACCTGTCAATCGATTCAATCAAATCTATTTATTTCAATCAATTTGTTGTCAAATTTAATTGTAATTTAGTTAACAGTTATGACTGCATGTGGACTGAGGTTAACATGAATA